GGTCTATGAGGCAGAAGAAAGTTTTGAATGTTCCTGTTGTACAGCTGTACAAGCAGTTCAAGCAGGAGCATCCAAATAGTAAAGCGTCCTTGCGATCCTTTTTCAGGCTTCGTCCAAAACATATCTTGAGTTGTACGAAGATGCCACTGCAGCAGTGCAAATGCGAAATTTGCTTTAATTCTTCGTTGAAACTGAAAAGTTTCAATGAAGTGACCATGGGCGCTTTACAAATGAATGACCTCATAGACCTGACTCTTTGTCCATAAAGTGGAGTGCACCACCAACTACATTGTCTTAATAGGTCTTGTGATATGTGCCGGTCAAAATCCAATCCCACTGCTCTCAGAAAATTGTGACTTCTCACTTTTTGCTACCTGGAGCAAGTGGGATTATGTTACTACAGATGGCAAGAAGCACTTGGAGCTTGTGGAATGTCAAGGCTCCTTAGAGTGACTGGCTATTGAATTAGCTGAGGAGCTGAAGACATTGCCACTGCATTTATTTACTTATCATTGGCAGGCAGACCAATACAAAATTTTAAAATCTTCTCCCCCATGTGTTTCTGCCATCTGTACTTTTGACTTGGCACAGAATTATGCATGTGTTAGTCAAGATCAGCCCCAGAGCTCATACTTTGGGATAAAACAAGTCACGGTGCATCCTGTAGTTGTACACCGACAGTGCCCTGACGGTTGTGGTGGTGTATTCACTGACAACATTGTGTTTGTCAGTGATGACTTACGGCAGGATGCACACTTTGTGCAGAGTGTCAGTGCAAAGGTTATGAGGGGGCTAAAAAGTCTTCACATCACCAAGGCTTTCATCTTCAGTGATGGGGCCACGTCCCAATATAAGGCAAAACTGCCCTTTTCGCTATTGACCGAAGATTTTGACATTACTATTGAACGTCATTTCTTTGGCTCAAGACACGGAAAGAGTAAGTGTGATGCCTTGGGTGGTGTTGTGAAGACTGCTGTTAGGCACGCTGTCACCACACGTCGGGTCACTGTCAGTTGTGCGCAGGACCTATTTCTTTTTTGCAGTGAGCCTTTGTCACAGCCTTCGGTGGGTTGCTGTGGGTCATCCAGGTCCTTTCACCTGATGACAGCAGTTGCTCGTCCGGATTTGGACACTAGTACTTTAAGAACTGTTCCTGGCACAAGGAAGATTCATTCTGTGTGTCCTTTAAGTTCCAATGTTATTGCCACCCGCAATTTTTCCTGTTTCCGTGCCCGTTTTGTGGAGGGAGCGTCCTCCGATTGTTTCAACAGTGCTTATGTTGGTAACTGGTCTGTAATCAAACTGTCTCTTTCCGACCCAGTTCCAAGGATGCGCCAACTGAGGAACATTGAGGACCGCATTGTCTTCTTTTCTGAAGTTCAGAAATTATTGTGCTCCTCTTCTTCTTTTGGGGACTTTCTTCGTGTTCTCAAAGGAAATTGTTAAGTTTCTTTCAAAATTTCCTTAATAATTCACGCCTGTCTATGTCCGAAATTTGAAGTGCTGTGTGGATGTGGTTGCTTTAAAATTACGTCCACAGCACATTCCAACAAACTGTGTTCCCTTACTGACAGTTGGAGATGAGAATTGTATGCCTAGGAGTCTTTGCCTAGCATTCTCTGGCACGGACGAATGGCACAGAGAGTTGAGGTGCCGTATTGCCATTGAGCTGGCAATTCGTCAACGGTTTTATTTAAATGAACAAAGTTTGCTTGATGTCAGTGACTCTTAGATGGGCAGGGTCCGTCATTTATTAGACCTCATTTGCAAGCTGTCTGACTCCAATGTTTCGTCAGAGAACGGCATTGATGTTAAATCCACTTTCGAAGCAGAAGTCATGAAAACTGCAAATGAAGGTGTATTCATGGGAATGTGGCAATTGTTTGCTGCTTCAAATGTTTTAAAATGTACAATAGCTTCAGTTCACCCTAATCTTGGTTGGTCTGTATTTCGATCATTGCAGAATCGAATGATTAGGCCAAGAGAGGTAAAAGACTCTAGCAATATTATCTCCATCATGTGGAGCTCCGTGAGAGAGGACATGTCTCAAAACCATTGGGTTGCAAATCACATTGTTCCTCTAGTACCAATGACTGAGTCTGTGTAGCTTAAATTACTGTACCACTCCAACTGTCAGAAGAGTAACCTATTTTCTAAGCACAGTTTTTTCTTTGTGCTGTTTATATTCTTTCTCAAATCCCAGACGTCTTTCCTTTTTTCTTTGTGCTGTTTATATTCTTCCTCAAATTCAAATCCCAGGCGTCTTTCCTTCTTTCTTTGTGCTGTTTATATTCTTCCTTAAATTCAAATCCTAGGCGTCTTTCCTTCTTGAACTTTCTTTGTGCTGTTTGTATTCTTCCTCAAATCCCAGGCATATTTCGAACTTTCTTTGTGCTATTTATATTCTTCCTCAATCCTGCAGGTGTCTTTCCTTCTTTTTCAAGTGTGTTACAGAAGTAATACTTGGCTGACACATGTATGTATAAATAATCACAGTGGGGCACCAATAACACTTGCACGGAAAATTTTAAATCACGGATGGCTTGTGGTTTGCCTTTCTCCAGCTGTAATCTCTTTAATATTTGGCTATCCGTTAAGCCGAATTCGGTGTGTCGAACACATTTGTCAATCCCCGTGTTTGGGGTATCTGTGCCCTACTCTTATTATAAAATTGATTCAAATATGTTATGATGGAAATAATGAGCATCATTCTCTTTTGACACTTTTCACATTTATTGTTGTTTTGGTTGGGTTTTTTTCTGTACAAATGTAATAATTTAATGGGCCAGAAGGCTTCCTTCTCTATGTTTTGCTTTAGTTATCAACACTGTATGGTTGATGTTATTACATTCGGTGATGTTACTTTGAATGTTGTAAATTTTGTACGTTAACTCACCTAATCAAGGTGAAGGCTACTGACGACCATAACACTCAGGGTAAACAGATTTATTTTCCTGTAAAGGGGGATGGTGCCTTTATTCTTTTTTTTCTTGCGTTCATAATGGGCCGTATTTTAATTTTACTTTTCACATTTTGCTACAGGCATGTTGATGTGACGAGTATCAAATGATAACATGCATTTTTGTAAAATAATGTATACTACTATTAACTTTGTAAATACTTCTAAGATCTTTAACCTCACTGCCCTTTTTGTAAATGAATTTAATAAGCTTGCGGCAGTACATGTTTTGGTGATTACATGACAAAATCTGTGTCAATAGTACCGTAAAACACCTGCTCAATCATCTAATTATCATTTTTTTTTCTCACATGAAATTGGGTGTAAATCATGTAATTTGAGGAGGGCTGTATGACTTTGTCAACTTTCCAAGTGACTACACGAAGAAAGAGGTTGTAACTGTTAATATGTGCCTGTAAAAAGTGTCAGTATTATATGACACGATACAACCAAAACGTGAGATCCTCATCTGAAAATGGGTGTAGATCGTGTAATTTGAGATGGGCTGTATGGTTTTGTCAACTTTCCAAGTGACTACTCAAATAAAGAGGTTGTGTTTATTAGCGTGTGCCTGTAAAATGTGGCACTATTGTATGACAAGATAAAACCAAAGCATGAGACAAGATACAACCACAACACATTAAACAGTCTGCTGACTTAATTTAGGGATATTTTGTCTGTATTTCTCTTCAGTATAACTATAATTACATTCCTCAATGTTCATTAAATATATTCTGGATGTCTGCTTTTCATATTTTAGTAATAACAAGAATGTCATTTCATTGTGCGTGTGATGATTCCTCCAGCAATGCAGAGTTGCTTCAATAAATACTGTTCCAGTTGAAAACTTTGGATCTTCTGCTTCTTATTCTGTGATGTGCATGTCTGTTGTGTTTATAGTAAAATATGGGTCTATTTCTACCAAAATTACTGCTGCTATGGGTCGTTTTATGTCATGCAGCGATACAACTGCAACGACATGACATGGTTCAGAAAAGACCCTCTACAAGTAAAACCATCAGCTGAGTTATCTTGCCAACACAATTTCATGAAAGGGAAGAATCCTATGTACCCTTTAAAAGTATTTGCATGCTGAAATATGGGTTTTTATACTTTGGTGTACTGCTGCTGTGGATGTGGTGACCTTTTGGCAATGGCTCATATCAAAGAAGTCAAGAAATGAAAGAAGAAAAGTAGTAGGCCTACTCAGGCAATCAACTTCCCCTATGTTTACTGTAAAATCTGTAATAATCATAGATAGCATTTGTATAGCTCTAATTCCCGCTCAACAGCAAGCTGTATGCGCTTTACAATCTATGTTATTGCCCGAGGAGACCTGATAACATTGTGAAACAATCTCTATTTCCTGCATACAGCGCAGGCTGCCATTTATAGGTTCTAAACACTAACATACTGACAAGATCTTTAGCTGGGTACCCATTCCCACCTGGGTGAAGTGAGGAAAATTCGTGAAAAGTCTGATGGCCTAACCACTAGACTACCAATGCCAAACTATTCTGTGTACTGCTTCAGTCAAAGAACTGTCAGTGTGGGTAGATGATTTTTTTAAAAGGCACTTTTAGTTTTAGCTCAAAAACAGGTCACCGCATTTTGACCACTTGCAATGGGGTGATCCTCCCAATGGGAATCATGATAGCTATCTTTACTTGTCTTTTCTTTCCATCTTTTCAGAAGTGTATTCATTATCCAGGTACTTCTCTTTAGCTAAAACGAACAAATCACAGGCATGGATAATTTGGATTATTTATCAATTGATATTGTTCAGTTTCTGGTACATCTTTGTTCTGTGGATAAGGCGTTGGACTGACTTTTGTGAAATGAAAGGTACCCCGTAATGTTTAAACTTTAAACAAGGATGTTTTGACAAAAGAGCACACACAAATTGGCAATCACTGTGGCTGCTGATCACACTTTTTGTTGAAAGAAAAATGAAATTAGCAAGTAAAATAAGATTTAAATAAATGTGTCTTTAGACTGCACTGTAACTTGTACAATGTAACTTTTGTATTTTTTGTCTCAGGTGAAATTGGTGAAACAGGATGAGCCAGCGTCCCCGATGTTAGACCTGTCGATTCTGGGTCGTGCCGATCATTTCATTGGCAACTGTATCTCCACTTTCACTGCATTCGTCAAGCGAGAGCGGGACGTCTCTTCCTTACCTTCGTCATTTTGGGCTTTTGAGAAAAAAGTGAAAGAAGAGTTATGAAGAGATTGCCACCCATTTTTTTAGTTGAAGTGTGCCAGGAGCTGAGTTCTTTCTTGTATGGTCTCCATTTCTAGACTTTTTGTTAAAAATATTGTCCCAAAAAAATTTGAATTTCATTTTGTACTAAATCCCATTTGCTCTACTGGAATGCAGTGCTTTCAAAGGGATTTACATCAAAATGGAAGACATTGAGTAAGCAGAAGATAGCACTATGTCCTAGCACTATGTCCTCTGTCATAACTTAAGTTACTGATGTTTGCACTTGTTTCCTGATAGATATATATATATACATCTAGTGGTATGATGCTGTGACAGTATACAGGGTGTCCCAAAAGTTGTGTGCCGTCCTACCTTTCAAGAAAACAGCTTAATGTCTATAATACATGCTTGAATTGAGCTCCCTCAGCTACAAAACAAGCATCAAATCTTTCAAGACAGTCATCTTTTATGCGCCTCAGTGTTTCTGGCATGAGCTTTTGGCACCTTATAGTTATTGCTTCCCTGAAATCGTCAGCAGAATGGTGCGTGACTTGTATGAAAATTTTCAGGATGGGGCGTGACTTTTGAGACACCCTGTAATTTGTGAGTCGACATGATTATCAATGTGAACTTGGCTTTAGCATTTAAGCATCTATAAAACTGTGTCTTTGAATCAAGCAAAGTGCGACCGCTTCAGTCCACAAGTGGAATATCTGTTTGATAGTTAAAACCACACAAACCTATACCATACAAGCAATCGAACAATTAGCAAAACTGCTGTAATGATGAAAAGTCTTTTACAAAATCTGTTTGATAAAACCAAGAATGCCTCATTTGAATACAAGAAAAAGCTTCAGTTGTCCAGGCCTGTTGAAAGTGCCTTATGTGGATTGCTTCATTCATAGAAACAAGACTTCTAGGCATTCACTGGCTGACCCATCGTGAGACTACATTTACAATGCCGATGACAATTTTTATACACATGTGGTTTACCACGCTGAATTTATAAGGTCGTCTCTTTTCTCTCTTTGTATAGTGTAAATGTCGCTTGTTGGCGTACTTCGTAATTTTTAGACTTCCGATGTTTAACGGTCAAGTATGCTTTAACGTGAAACATCTACAGTGGAGTCTACTTAAACCGAGTGTATGATTAATGAGGAAACAACAGTGAACAAACAAAAAATGGAATCTCTGATTTTTTTTCTTTGATATTTGAAAAACCACTCTAAGCTGACAATATGGCTTTACCGAAGAAAATACCGCTGTCACACATATTTCGGTTTATAAATGCAGGCTACACTGTATTTCGTCATTTTAAGACTTTGTTTTATGGCCAGCCAAGTTCGCTCTAACTTGGAACAACGGAATCCATTTGAAGAACTCTGGGTTTTTCAAGTAAGTAGAATGAGAGTTAAAGGTTTCTTGTGCCATACTCCTTAAATCCAGTAAAGTTTTTATAGTGTGTGAAAGTAGTCTTGTAGTATATGAAATATATCACTGAAAACATAAATGCACTGAGTTTTTAGCTTGCTGCTCCGAGAATTTCCTGTTAATTTTATTAAAAACATGTAGATTTTCTTTACTGCCCAGGATTATAGAATTTTTATTGGCATTGACTACTGAGATGATAATTGATTAAACTAAAATATCAATTACAATTACAACGCCATTCAAATAAGCTGTGAAAGGTTGGGGGGGATGGGGGGGGGCTTACCTTTTTTTAAAAAGAAAGCAGACATATTACATGTGCCAAGAAAAATTTACCATGTGACACTCACGTGTGAATCTCACACACTCACTAAAAATGCATCTTTTTTTGAAGATTTGTGACGTCTCCTTTGAATCAAATTTGCTGGTTATTTTCAAGCATGCTGTTGGGTTTTTTTTCTGCCTGCTGTGCCAGGCAATATTTACTGTTGGTATGCACATGTCTCTAAAGATTTAATCTGCAAATTTTGCTACAAAATTGCTTCTTATCACATTAGGCAACTACGATTGTTTCTACAATAAGAATGTATGTATCATCATGTCACCTGTGATTTTAATTTGTGTTTTTGTTGTCCATACTACTTGTGGAAGCCTTGATCCAGCCATGCAGTAAGTCCTGGGAATGCTTTTATTGATCTTTATGTGATCTCAAAGACAACATAGTATCAAAATGATATACATACATTCAAACCTTGTTATACCGCCTCCCATTATACCACCAACCCCACTTACGTCCAGGTTTTGCCAATGTCCGAAAAGGAATGCCTTTATACAAATATTTACATCTTCACACCACCATCCACCAACTGTCTGACTTGTACGGTCCTTTTTAAAGGAAAATGTAAATTTGCTTCACAATACCGCCAGCGAATTGGCCACCAGAGGTTCACACAACACACAGTGCACTACAGCCATTGGTAGCTGCTTGATAATCTCTTTCCCACACAGGTTCCTGCAGGTCCGGTCTATTTCAAGAATTTCTGGCAGATTTTCTTTTAATTTGTGCTGATTATGAAAATGCTATTTCAATTTTTAGACTTTGGTAAATGTATATATTTAGAAAAGAAATTGAAATTTAATTTTAAAGTCGCTTGGAGAAACTTCAAAGGAACTGCACCACCTCGGCCTATCAGCAAGATATGTGGCTTTGGAAAGTTCAACTGGAGATGTACATATGTAATTGGCTGCTACTAATTTTTCCCCTGTGCATGGCAATCATGCAAGACAGAGATCTAGATGAGGCAAGACTGACCACAGTTTGTCTCTGGTCTCTACCACTAATCAAGATGGCAGTCAGTGCTCTCCCATTATACCCCCAGCTCCACTGTATGCTGACTTCATGCTAGTCCCATGGTAGGGAGTATGACAGGGTTTGACTGTATATATCGCATTTTTGTATGCCACAAACTCCCGCTCAACAGAAAGTTCTATGTGCTGTAAAAGTAAAATCTATAAATTATAATGTTACTTCAATAGACCTGATAGCATTCTGAAACAATTTCAACTTCCTGGGAAAGAAAAAAAGTGAAACATGCATAGCTCTCGCTGAGTCAGCTTAATGATGATCGCATGTTAAATAAATTCTGACTTTAAACAAATGAAAGTTGTTGCAAGTTCTAAGCCATCCTTGGAATTTGTAGCAATATCGGGCAATTTTAGTCATACATGTATGCTGGGGGGGGGGGGGTTCTTTGAGCCTGCCTGTGGTTAACCAAAAGTCATGGTCCCAGTAAATTCACAGGACTGTAAGAAGGCTGCTGTACATATATATTGTTGTTACTGCAAGCTGTGACTGGGTTATTTATTTGGTTTTGCTCAGTAATGTGATTCTTAAAGGATTGTGGTCTATTACATGTATACATTATCCAAATATTGGTGCGTCATGAGTTTGTTGGACGTTTTGTTCATTTACAGTATAACACGGATAGTTCGAATTTGTCGGGACCGGCCTCGATAGTTCGAGGGATCTGTCGTTCAAGGAATATCTTTACTAAGATAGAGAAGGGAAAAAAATGTACCGAAGGCACAGTTCAACTTCAACGGATGCGTGATTTCAAGTCTTCTGTCTTATATTGTGTTGCAAGTGCCGTTAAACACTTACATTTGTACTATAAAGCTAAAACTTCTGTGTTCGACCTATCAATGGTATACTGCAGTTCACATTTTGTCGGGGGGGGGGGGGGTTGTTTTGTTTTTTGCATTTGTTTTAATTTTGTAGTACAGCTTATACTAAGTTCAAATTGTAATTCATTCCATTTGTGAAATTTAATTTTTTTTTTTTTTTTTGGGGGGGGGGGAGTGGTTGTACTGAAACTGACTGCTGGTGGCAGGTAAATGGCTTACAATTGACTGTATATTGTGCTATTTTTTAGAAAAATAAAGTTATTTAACTTTAAAGCTGTGTTTCTTAAAAATTTGTTCATACATACCTTGTTTTACAAGACCTACAATGTTTGAAAAAAAATTTTTAACAGCTGATTCAGAAATGAAAAGCCTATACAATCACAATCGATGAGTGCTCTTGTTGTTTGTCAAACAGTTTGACCACAAGCCTCACCCTTCGCTTTTTGGGCACATGGTTAGCTCAGTTGGTATCATGCTGGACTATGGGGCGGATGGCTCTGACTCAAAGATGGAGCATTCTCAACTTGGATTGTTTTGAAGAGTTTTTGTGACTCCCCACCCGTTTGGCTCAGTCCTCTGAGATGGACGTCAAATTCAGAGATCCCACCTCTTAAATAGCAAATAGTCATACATAGTTGAAAAGGGCATTAAATTAGTACAATGACCCTGCTTTTTTCCATTTGCTTCCATACTCTTCCTCTCCTGCCCTCACTCTCTCGTGATGTACCCAGACATTTTGGATTATTCCTAGTTCTCATACAAAGTTTGTGATTTTGGCATAACTAAAGTAGACCTTTGGATCATAGAACCACAGCCACAGCAGCGTCAGTACATTGTAGTACCAGTATAGCAGTTAGGCTTCCAGCCTCCGTAAAAATGAGATTGCGGGTTCAGGAGTTGGAGGCTCAGCTCAGTTTGACGTTGTGTTCTTGAGAAAGGCACGCTTCATGAGTTTTCCCGTTTAGTTCGGCCTTCTCAGAAATGGGGGTTAACTTTGGAGGACCTGCCTCTTAACACATTATAGTGTTGTCTTATATTGTTGTATGTATATATTAAACCTATACAATTTCACATAATATTTCCATATTAGTATTAGCCAATTAGAGCAGGTGGTTGGCAGGTGCTCTGGTGTGGTTTGCTTCTTCTGTCCTATCAAACGTTTATATCATTCTGATCTTTCCTCCTTTTTCTTTGTGTCTGTTACTCTCTTATAACACCTCTAATCTTCTGTACTTCTATGATCTTTTTGTGTTGCAAGCGCCATAAGACTTACTAAAACAAAAAATCCAATTAGCATCAGTAGATCATTCACCTCACGTAAAAAATTCACCCTCCTACAACCCTCGCCCTCATTCATACAAATACAAGTACTAAGTAGTTTTCCAAGCATACAAAGAAAAACCTCTGGGGCTTTCTTTTTTTCAATTACAGGTATTTTACCTGACCAGAAGAGCTTCAATCAATAAATTCTTCCACTTTGCTGTCATAACACAGTGGAATCAGGCACTCATCAATTTTTGGCCATATGAAGTTACTCAAATTGATACACATGTACCATCTTGACACTTGTTCATTTGTATTGATTTTGATGAAAAAGAAACCCATCTACCCGGTGTTTAGCAAAAAAAAAAATAAATTTAAAGTTCATTTATAATTGAAGGAGGTGGGGGCTGCCTTGTGTCGTGTCAGAGGTAAAATCAGAGTGACGGCTGCCAAAGTTTGGTGACTTTCAAACTTGAATGCCCTTGGATACCGCCAGTTTAAATTTTTTGTGCCTATCATTGTTTTTCAGTAAAATCACTTAAAATCATTTTTTAAAACGTGATTTTAAGTGGACATAAATATGTTGAGTAAAAAAACAAAATAAATATTTGCCCAACAGGTGAAAAAATGTCAGTTTCTTCGATTTCATTTTTTTGATGAGCGACCGATTTCAACCCAATGCCACACATGCTATTTATTACTTTCATTTAAACACAAGATCAGAAGACAAAACACCCAGTTTTAAAGTATGTTAATTCCAGAACTCTTATTTCAAATCAAGAAAATCTTTTTATACCATACATTATTTATATACACCCAATACATGTAGCCTACCTGTCAACCATTCTCAGAAAAAGTTGCACGGCGGAAGTGCCTTTTCTCCTATAACAAAAAACATTGGTAAATTTTATTTAACATCATGTCTTTTCAGCGAGGAAGTGAACGAATAGATACCGTATTTGAAAGGAAATCTACCCAATTTACAAGTTCCCGAAGTTAAAACATTGTACACGTATCAAAAAGATGAATGAATTATTGCGTTACTTTGAAGCACCGTAAACTGGGGTCTTCTTATCAACAGGCTCAGTTATGTATACCAAACAACCAACGTCTGTGATGAGTAGTGGTTAGGCACTTCGCTGTCGCACGCAGGAGAACCAAGTTCAATACATGAGTGAGGAGAATTTTTATCAAGTACAATGTATCTGTCTTTCAGCTGGGAAGTTAAGTTGTATCCCTGACAGCCCAGCTTGGCCCAGGCAGGCAGGATCGAAGATTGCTTGCTTCTTAATTTATCTAAACTATGTTGAAGGGGCAGTAAAAACAACTACATTTTTAAAAAAAAACAATTCCAAACCATTCGACACTCAATGAGTACTTGGTACTCAATGAAATACCCTGCCAGCTCAAGAAACGATAAATGTTTTCTTTCCCCTCACCACATAAGGAAGAAGTTACAAAACTCATAAGATGGTTTAAATGTTGTAGAAAAAAATACACATCTTTTAAGTAAGGAATTTCATAGCTGTTGCAAGTACAGTAATGTTTATAGCGTTACCGAGAAGTTTTTTGGGGTACATGTAATTTGTTCATCTGGGAAACCAGGGTCTGACAGGAGTCAATTGGTTTTTTCACGACAGTGAAAATTGTCACACAGTTGGCTCTTCTCTATGTATCCCAACAACCCATATGAAATGCCCACAGAATTAATATACATTTTAGCACTAAACATTTCTGGAATCTACTGGCTTTTCAATTATTATTTTTTCGGGGGGGGGGGGGGCGGCTTTCATGTACAGTATACTATAATCCGCTTATGTCCACTTGCTTTGGGAAGTGGATGTGATGTCGATATATTAAAATGTCGATAAATGATAAAGCCAGAGGAAAAACAAGGGGAGGTCAGCGGTAAAACGACAACACTACTTTTTTACGCTGGCTACTTCTTTTGATTCTTAGTCTTACACAACTGAACAATGAAACTAACAGGAGGCAGAGGAGGGGGGGGGGGTTACGGAACCAGTACCAAAGACCGAGCAACACGAGGCGCACACGTTGTTGTTGCATCTTTGTTGTAAGGCCTGTTTATTGCCGTTTGCTGGGGGAAATGGAATGGCGAGGCCCTGACTCACTGACCGAGGCACTTGTCAGTGACAGACTGAAAATAGGAAGGGAAAGGGGAGAGAGTGATCAGGAGTGGGGGTAAAGAGGTGATGCCCAGCGCTGGAGACTCTCACATCTGTGAGGCACTGTACTGTGTTGGAGTCTACACTGTGTAGGCCCTACATGACCTAGTAAAGCCTGGTGTGTCGAATAGGCTACTTGGCGGGTACGCAGACTTAATGAAAAACTAATGCGTTGACCGTTAGCGTGGCTTTTTTCCCCATTTATGTTCGTGGGCTTCGCCAGGTACCCAGGAAATAAGTCGATAAAGCAGAGTGGGCCGTAAAAAAAGTCAATATAAGAGAAATTTTTTAATGAAGATATTTAAGGGACAATTTAGTAATCGGAAAATATGTCAAATGCCAAAACGTCGATATATCGGCTGTCGGTTTAAGTAGATTATACTGTACGTGTATACTGTAACCAGGTCAAAAAAAAGGGGGGAGGGGGGGGATTAAGCTGTGCAGCAGTCTGCAGAGACTGAAATTCGGGACTATGAACATTTTACCTTCCAGCAACTTTTTAATTTAAAAAATTTAGATCATTTAGGGGGTTGTCCACTTTGACAAATGCAGTTGGTTTTCTGTTAGGACTGTTTTTCTTACACGTACCATTTTTTTTATTCTTTTGTTTTTTTGGATGCAGTGCAGGGTTGTTTAGCAGTAAAAGGTATTTTGTTTATTCTGTGTGTGTGCGTGGTGGGGTTGTATTTTATTCCTGCTTTTCCAGGGGGGAATATAGAGGAGCAGTGGCTTGAGGTAAAAATCAGCCTTTGCTGACTTTTTGGTTGTTTTTTTGTTTTGTTTTTGTTTAAGTGGACGTTTTAAGACACTTGCAACACAATAGGTTATACAAGTACAAGTGCTGAAGATTAAAAGTGTCACAAGAGAGAGAGACAAACACGAAAAGGAAGGAGAGATAAGGATTAGTTTTAGTAGAGGTTTTATGGCACTCGCAACTTCATAAGGTCATATGAGCGCCAGAAGATTGGAAGTGTTACAAGAGAGTAACAAACATAAAAAAGAAGAAGGGAAGATAAAGACGATAGAAGTTTGATAGGAAAGAAGAAGCAGACCACACCAGAGCACCCGCCAACCACCCGCAGAGAGATAAAGATGATGGATTAGATGTTTTGATAGGAAAGCAGAAGTAGACCACACCAGAATAACAGCCAACCACCCAGTCAGTTTGGTTGTGAATGTTACTCCACACTTTGTAGTAGTAGCCTCAGAGCCCCAGCCTGATGGCTATAGGCTCTGCACAGTCCACCTTCTCCCTTTATTCCCCAACACCTAAGCACACAACCCATCGCTCCACTACAGCTTCTTTAGCTTTGCTGTTGGACAAGAATTTCTTACTCAGAGCAAATCTAGAGAAGGGTAAAATTGATCTGTGCAAGTCATGAAGAAGAGAAATTTACAGATAGAGAAGGTAAACAATCTCCCTTCCTCCAGAGTCAAAGATATACATATAATCTTCATAAACAACAGTAGAGATCTTCAGAAAAAATGGGTTTATTCACCAATGCCAGCAAATAAATACTGTATGTACCGGTACACCCCATCCTTTCACAATCATGAAACAACCTATTCCATTGGTGCAAATGCATACAGAAATATTTCAATTTGAATCAACACTGATCAAGTACAACATCTTGCATCAAGGACACTGGGGGTTTTTTTTTCAAAACTGTTTAAGTTATAAAATGTTTTGAAAAGTCCCTACAGTTATAGACAAATATAGACAACATACTTTATCAAACCAGTAGGCAAATTGTGGACAATTCTTTCTTTCTTTGAATGAGCAACATAAACTTGAACCACAGTAGAATCTGTTTACCCACCAAC